AGACGCAGTTAAAGGTCGCAAGTGCACGGCATTCCTGCAGTTAGATCGGCTCTGGTTGCTGCTGGTGCTCACTGGGTTGAACCGGAGAGCTTGTCGTCGACTCTGGTTGATGGTAATCTCATCATGCAGCTACATATTATGGGCATGCGGAGTTTATTCGCCATATTGTGAAGGCGTTAGGAGGCAACATAAGTGGCTCCAATAAAAGGATTTTTGTTTCTTTGTGGGGTATGTTCAATTTATTCACTATTTCTTATGTATATAAGTTAAGAACCATGAAATCAAATACTTACTGAACTTTTATTGATCGTTGATCTAGACTTTGAGGGATAGAGCTATTGGTTTATTCGTGCGAAAAGAAATTGGATTTTGTACCTAGATTTGTACGTAAATACAAAAGTTCACTTTTGCTGGTGTGGATTGATGAGATATTTTTCATTGGAAAATTTTCATTGCAGGATTTCATGGAAGATTATGAGGTAGCCGTACCTTTTCAATCTCTTCAGGCTCTAGGATGCGTGGTTGATGCAGTTTGCCCCAAGAAAAAAGGCTGGTGATACTTGCCCGAACTGCCATTCATGACTTTGAAGGCGATCAAACTTACAGTGAGAAGCCAGGACATGACTTTGCCTTAAATGCAACCTATGATGATGTGGATGCCTCGAGCTATGATGCTCTTGTCATACCTGGAGGCCGATCCCCCGAGTATTTGGCATTGAATGAGTCAGTTATTGCCTTGGTGAAGCATTTCATGGAAAAGAAGAAGCAGTGGCATCTATTTGCCATGGGCAACAGATTTTAGCTGCTGCTGATGTTCTGAAGGTATGATTACTGATTCACTTATTTGGAGCTCTCTGTTTGTTATGTTCTATTTTAGTATATGCTGTCAAGTTTCAGCTGTAGGAAGATGTGATATTTATCATCCTAGGTGTTTTTTCCTATGCGCTTAAAGAATTAAAAGTTTGAATATTAAGCCTTTCATGTACTCAAGGCAAAAAATTTCTGATTGAGCTGTATGCGTCCTCCTCATTTGCTGCTTCTACTGCTATCTCGAGTGGAGATGCTTCTGAGTTTATTTATTTCTGATTTCTTGCCTTATCTTCATTCTTGAAGTGCTTGATATTTTGCATTATGTTGATTGAAGCATAAAGGTTATACATTGAGAATCGCAGCATCTCCCTCTCATGCTTGTTCCTGCTTGGCGTGGATTTTCTGCTGCTTCAAAATCTGCAGTCAGATTTACTGTAGCTTCATCTGGTTTATTTGGATTTTATGGCTGGCCGATGATTCTGGTCTCATTACTTTAGTATTTTAGTTGTTCTTGTTATTGTTGTTTTCTGGTTAAGTAATCTCTCCTTTATGTTCAACTTATACAGGCTCAGTTATCCTGTTGTTTTTAGATACCTTGGTTTCACTCGTCAAAAACAGGCAGTATTATGAAAGTCAGAGTGAGTGATATATACATGGAAATATCTGGGAATGGACAGATGTTAACGTGAACACTGGCTCTTCTAATTGTGTTGTTCTGTAGCTATTCTAACCATCAATATCTCTTGTTTGATCAATTCTGCTGTCTTTTGAAAGGCTTATAGGTTCTAGTTGACTATGGGAATGGTAAATTTAGTTGTGAGTTTTTATATCCAGCTGGTGATCCCTTGTTTGTTGGTCATATTCTCCTATTTCTTATGGAACATTCAATGGTGCAAGCTGGTTGAAAAACACTGAATGTGTCATTGAATATTTCGAAGTCTCATTGTACCCCTATTGTAGTTGTTAATGCAGAATTAAAAAATTTTCAGGTTGTGCATTGTTTCATATATGCACTGCTAAAATGACACGCTTTTATTACTTTTTCAGGGAAGAAATGTACGGCATATCCGGCTGTGAAGCTTAATGTGGTTCTATCAGGAGCGACTTGGTTGGAACCTGATCCAATACACACCGCTGCTTCACTGATGGAAGTTTAGTAACTGGAGCTGCATGGCCAGGGCATCCTGAGTTCATTTCTCAGCTGATGGTTCTCCTTGGTATTCTTGTATCTTTCTAGTTGTATTTTTGTACCATGAGTGTATACTTGGTACTGACTATCTTTCTACTTGTTACTATCTATGCATGCGTGTTCAGATGTCCACAAAAGTCTTGTGAAGTGTGCGCTATGTGAGTCTAATGTTATGTGGCTTTGAGAACAATTGAGTTGTATATAATGGAATAAAGTCGCCATCTTTCTTTCTGTACAATCCGTTGCCTTGGCTAGAAGTAATATTTTTAGATGGCTATTTGGATGGTTTGCTGAACAACATTTTCCCATCTTAGCATAAAATAAATGTCTCTAGGTTGAATGTTGGTTTGGTGTGTATGATAGGCTATTTCTAATATCCATGATGTAGCTTTGTCAAGAATATGACATAGAAAAATGCGTTTCTGAGAGTTTTTGAAATTATTTATTAGAAAATAATAAAAAAGTAACCATCAAAGAGTCAGAAAAAATCTGAATTAAAAAATTTTAATGACCAATCATGAATATGTGATATAATAGCTATCAAACCAAGGAGCCCATTTGGTACGTAGAATAGGATGTGATGGAAAAGATAATGCAATAAGAAATGATTTTATGATAAGAAGCATCTCCTGTACTGTTGGATAAACAAAATGGTAATGAATGCTTATTTTATGGATAAGAAGTACTCCTTCGGTCCTTAATATAATACCCATTTAATTAATTTGATTTGATTATGGAAGTTAAGTAAGTTAGTTAATTATAAGAAATGTGACGCGTTTGTCTATACCATACTCATTTTTTTTAATACCTCCTCTTTCTCTTCTACTTGATTATAGTTGAGAGAGTATCCATAGGGGTAATTTAGAAAAAATTAATAAATATGAGAAATAGGTCTTATATTTAGAACCAAAACTAACTTAGTAATTGGATCCTATATTAAGAACCAAGGAGTATCTCTTATATACTCTTGGATAAAGTATCTTTGTGTTATTTTTGCAGTTAAATAAGAATAAAATTTGATCCTTAATATGATAGTAAAACTAATTAAAGGACTTTACATTTTTACTTTTTACATTATTAGGTTGAAACTTCAACTGTCTAAGTCACTTCCAGCTGTAAATTCTTGTGTAGTACTATCATCTTGCTGATAGTGTAATAGTGGAGGCTGTAGCATTGGTATTAAGGAAAGAAGTTGAGGTTAAGGTGCCTTCCCTAGACGTCAAATTAGTTTCAATGAAGACTGGCATAGTGGGTTTCATGTGCTCCATTAAGCCCTTGCTTCTAAGCATAAGAACAACTTCAGACATTGTTGGCCTTATTGCAGGAGATGCTTGGGTACAAAGCAAACCAATCTCTATGATTTTTTTCACTTCTTCTGGATCATAGTCATTAGGCTCTAAGGTCTCGTCCACCAATTTCAAGTGCATGTCTTTCTCATATAGTTTCCAGGCCTGCCAGGTGAAATCAAAGTGTCTTAGAGCACGGGGGAAAGCAGCATAACAAAACCTAGGGCGGGGTTACAAAGGAGTAATTTCTTAGAAAGAATTAATTATGCGGTGATGAGCTGTTAAAAATATCTCAAAATTGCATCAGTCTTCAAACAGAAATTTCTTACTTGTTGAAGGAGGAATTCGCCTTCGGCATTAGGATCAACCTTTAATTCAATGCTTTTTTGGCCGCTGATGATTTCTAGGACTACAACTCCATAACTATAGGTATCGGCCTTCTCTGATAATTGACCTTGAATTGCATACTCAGGTGCTGTGTATCCCCTAACAAATGCATATTGTTTGGTACAATCATAAGGACAATGACATAGACACAAACATACAAATTTTTTTTTTGGTAAACCAAAAAAAAAATGTTGTAATATAGACTAATGCAACAAGACTGGTCCATTCACTGATGTATAGATTTTTTTTATGTCTTATGTAATACATGTGATATATTAGAAGTTATGGAAGATTAAACAAATGCAGTGTTGCAACTTACAATGTTCCTGCGAACTTTGTGCTAAGATGAGATTGGTCCTTAGGCAGAAGTCTTGCCAACCCAAAATCAGAAATTCTAGGCTGAAGATCATTGTCTAAGAGGATGTTGTTGGTCTTTATATCTCTATGTATGACACAAACATAGAATTCCTCATGTAAATAGGCCAAACCCCTTGCTGTGCCTAAAATTATTTCATACCGTTGCTTCCAATTGAGAGAACCTTTGTTTTGGCCTGTTTCACATTGAACGTTAAGGAAAAAGGAAGAATGAAGCATGAAATTTATTCTCAAAACGCTTCAGTAGCAAACCAACAAAAACGTTTGTTAAGTTTTTCAATAAATGTATAAAACCGTAACATATGGTTAAGTGTTTGTTGGAGAAGTTAAGGATATATTGCTAAATAGAAAATATATTCACACATTACAAATAATTAATGGTAGCTAATACTTGAAGAACTTGATGGTTGATATGAGTTACCAAATAAGAATCTGTCAAGACTATTGTTTTTCATGTATTCATAAACAAGGATCTTCTCTTGGCCTTTACTGCAGCATCCCAAAAGGCGAACAAGATTCCGATGATGAACATTACTAATAAGCTTCACTTCACTCTCAAAATCTTCATCTATCCTCTTGCTGTTACCTAAAGCTAATTTCTTGACTGCAACTATTTTCCCATTCTTAAGAGTGCCCTGTCCACGGTGATTAAGAATTTCAGTCATTGAAATAATTCAATAGTTAATGTTTTGTCTTTGGAAATATAACCTTTTACAGGCTCACTTAGAAACATCCTTGCGTAAAACTAGACTGAATAATGAAGAAAATCAGAAGTTTTACCTTGTATACATCACCAAATCCTCCTCCTCCCAGTTTATTTTCTTCACTAAAATTTTTTGTTGCAATCTTCAAGTCCTTATATCTGTACTTAACAGGTCCTTTCAACTCTGTTGCTCCCAGTATGTCATCTGTCAGGGAAAACACAAGTTAAAACATCTTAACAAACGAACAAATCAATCAGTGATTCATGCCTTCGTAGAGATGAAAGCTTGACTTTTTCTCTTAAGCATTATATTAAACCTTCACGACTTAAGTAACTGAAGACATTCCAAGTATTCTTACCTCTGGGAACCTTCTTTGGCCTCTTGGGTTGCATAATCAAAAGAAACACTGCAAGGACAATCAAAACAAAAGCCACTCCTCCTGCGACCCCACCAATAATAGCTCCCCTCTTACTTGAACCTACAATACAGAAAAATAGTAAAATACAATCTCATTTTCTGCTTCTTACACTTGAACGTTATAAATAAAAAAGGCAGATATTGAATCCTTCAAATGAACTGAACCTTGTTTCAAGAAGGGTGTTATATCAATGGTCTGGTTATTAGGAAAGAAGGAAGTGGTGGAGTATCTCATGAAGCAACCAGCATCAAAAGCCCTACCCTCCAAAGTGGGAAGACAAGTCAGCAGATTGTTGTAGCCAACCTTCAAGCAATCAAGGCAGCCACTGTGTGTGACAGTATCAACACACTGAGCAATGGCATAGACAGTAGGACCATTGTTAGGTATCCGAGTCTTTGTGGCTGCAAAGAAACCAGTAATTCTGGGTGTTGCTGTTTGGAGATTGATTAGCATTTGTTGAGCTGTTGAGTCAAATGTTGTGTTATCTCCATAAGTTTGATTCCCGCAAGCCATGCTGTTGCCAGGCTGCGTCGTCTGATCATAGAAACTACTGCTCTCATACCTAACGAGTATTGCCTCCATTTAAGTCGCATGGAACAAGATACTCCTCTTGATTCTAAATACAAGGTCTTTTGACTAATTGGTAGAATTCAAAAGTAGTTAAGATGATTATTTGTAATTAATATGTAGATATTAGGTAACTTGTAATATGTCTTTGTATACATCTTTTTGGATAAAGATGTATACGTTACTCTAATTTTGTATTTTAGGTGTGCACCTTGATTTTATTCATAGTGCATCAAGCACCCTGATTTTAAAATGTTGGGTGTAACAAAAGATTAATATGAAGGTGTTGGATGCATTTGAGAAATAAGATCACAGCGCTAGATGCACCTGTACCTTTTTTTTTTCCTCCGAAAAAATAACCTGCCATTTAATTACTAAAATTAATGCATAGGAATAAAAATGCTAGAATAAATGGTATTACGGGAAAGAAATAGTTAATGTAAGAGATGATAAGAGATTGAATCTTATAAGATTTGAAACTTAAGAGATCATAAGTAAAATGATGACAAACTTAATAGATTAAAATTATATTAATTTTAATTTTAGTATGAATATACTATTTCCTCATTAGTTCATTATTATATAAATTGTTATTTTGTTGAAAAGTACATATATTAAACATGTTTAAAGTAGAAAATTTGTTGAATTTTCAGGTAAAGACAATAAGATTTAAAGACTGTTTTATTAAGATAAAATATATTGACAATGACTTGTAAATAAAATAAGAAAAGCATAATTTTGTAATGAAGAAGTGGTCATATTCAGGCTTCCAATAAAAAGATGGCTGCACCTATTTTTTTTTTAAAAAAAAAAAGGGCGGAACAGGCCTTACCTGAGGAATGTAAATGATGATGATGATGATGATGATGATTATTATTATTATTATTATATTATAATAATAATACGAGACCGGTTTGAAATTAAAGAGCATTTTATATAGATGGGTATGAATCGTTGGCGCCGGCAGTTGGCAGAGACAAGGTATAAAAAGAGAATATAATAACAAAGATAAGAATTAATAATGGAGAAGCATTACACATAATTAAGCATTATATTGGTCAGAGAATGGAATAACGGATTAATTATTCTACTGTTGTACGTATGAAAGCAAATTAAAATGGAGACAAATTTTAAGGATCTTTTTGGTCCAGACAAATTTTAAAGGATCAAACTACTAATTTCAACTTTAGCGATCACAAGAAAATAAAATCAAAATTTAGGGACTAAAAATAATATCCTCCTTTAATTTTAAATAATTTACTCCATATTTTGTTTGGATGTTTAAGACCAAATTTCAACATCATTAGAGTATGAATATTTATCAAAAACGTCTAAATTTTTTTTATTCCTTTGTCTTTAAATAATCAACATGCCCACACATCTATGGAGGTGGGATATCATATAATAATATCAATGTTTTATCAAATAAAATATTGAAATAAATTCGTAATAAATATCTTATCTATCGGCCTTACTATTTATGACAAAGAAAAGTCAAACTTAGAGACCGCACCTGAGGAAGCAGCCGTCGTAGATAACGCGGGCACCGTTGGCTCCGGCGGAGCAGTTCCGTATCTGTGCGGCGGCGATGTTGAAGCAAGCGGTACAGTCAGCGGCGGAGAGATAGTTTCTGCATTGGAAAAGAGCGTAGACGGGGCTGCCTCCCTTGGCTTGCTGTGCCGTGGCGAAGAGCTTCCTCTGGGCGACGACCTGATCTCTGAGGTCTCGAAACGTTGCGTTTAGGTTGTCGTTGAAGCTGGCCAAGTTGGAGACGTTGTACTGGCTGCACCCTCTGTTCAGAAGATGGGTCTGGGGGTCGGAAACGACGCCGTCGAAACATGACCAGAATATGAAGGTGGCCAAGGGAAGGAGAATACGACGACGTTGAAGCATCTTGTGTGAGCTCTGTGTGGTCAGGAAGAAGATGAAGAAAAGGAGGGGGAGAGAGGGAGAGAGAAGAAGAAGAAGAAGAAGTATTTTTGGAGTGTGGAGTATATAGGAAATAGGAAGGGAAGGTATTTGCTGTCTTCCCTTTTTTTCACACCAAAAAAAAAGTTTAGACATAAAAGAATAAACCTCTAGATGCATGTAGCTATTAATTGTACTTGTGATGGAAGGGGGCTTGTAATTTTTTTTAAACATAAAAAATTATAAAATAAAATACAAATTTGTGCAGCTGTAACTTTTTTTTTAGATGCATGGAGTGTATTTCATATCAATTAGCGTTGATTTAATTTTTCTTCGGATATTGAGAGAAATTAGAAAGGTTGAAAATCACATTTAACCGAGATTCAAAAAATCAGATCGGACCAACTGGTTCAGACCGAAAACTAGTGAACCGGTTATTAGTCAGGTTTGCTTTAATCATAGTCGACCAGATCTGTTAAACCATGGGCATAGCCGGATGTTTAAGATACAATGCGTGCAAAGATAAGGAGGAAGAGAGCATGTCTTCTTCAAGCGATGTCCTGCTTCACTCTTGGATGCAGTGTTTCGAGTTGGGGCAGAGATAATTTCCCCACGCCAGCAAACAACCCAAAATGCAGAGGGAAGAGTAAAGGCAGAAGAGTGTTAATTGTCAATTAAAGAAAATAAAAAAAGCAAAAAAAAAAAAAAAAAGAAAAATTTGAATTACATCACGAGAAAGAGAAGTTACACAGAATGAAGAAATACAGATTTTATATATTTAAACATTTAACAAGAGTCCATGTGTTGTTTATATTAAATAGGATTAAATATAAATGTTTTTATACATTTTAATTAAAAGTATTATACGCACACAAATAATATTTTGAATTTCAACCAATTAATCTATATGATTTCTACTAATTTAACATAATCAAACATTATATGATATATAATTATATATATAATTAAATATATAATCTCTCAACATCCTCTTAACTTTTTATTAATGTTAGTTTGGTACAATTAAACATTTAATATATTTTTGTAGTTTTTTATATTTTGTTGAGTGATTATTATTTCTGAATGTTATCGTATTTTGTTATTATTGATTCAATTGTATTATTTTAATATGACTGGTCTAACTTCCATCTAACCTATTAACCCTTAACCTACAATTTTGACCGATTTAGTTTCCAGTCTGGTTTTTTGTTCCTTGTATTTAACCATCTACTTAAATAATAAAAAAGGTCAACATGTAATTTTGACATTGATCTTATTTTTTAAATGCAATTTTGACTATAATTTTTTGTGTGTACAATTTTATCCGTGAGAGGCAAAATTGCACTTGAAAAATAATATTAAGAATAAAATTACAGCTGAAAAATAAAATTAGCATCAAAATTGCCCCCTAACCCCAACAAGAATTGCTGTCAATGGCACTAACTTGAGCTGTTGCATTTATTTGATGTGGTTTTGCATTCAAAATCTATACATTTCGCACAATACTTAGATTTTTTTTTTCCAGAAAAAAATCAGAGCATATTACCTTAAGAAAGTATGATATTATTCATCTATAGAAAATTCTATAAATATATATAATAATTCATAAAATGTATTTAAAATGAAATTAAAGAGTATATTTCTTATTAAAAATATATTTTTTGACCAACTTAAAAAAAATTAGAGTTTTTGGGATGACGAATTCAAATTGTGCTTAAATTAAAATATTTCAATTTTTTTTCGGGGGGAGGGGAGGGAATCTTCAGGGGTGCCAAGTCTTATAGCTGATATCAAAATATATACTACCTACTTCCATTTTTTCTCAAATATCAATAAAATATTTACATAATTTATTTGACCATCTAATGTAAAGTCAGCTTTAGGATTACATTATGTTTATCAACAATTCTAGAGACTAGAAGCGTAACTTTCTATGGCTGAACGTTAGTGCTATCAAATTTCGAAACGATGGAACAAACAAGATGAGAATTTCCCGGGCATTTAAAAGAGATAAACTGGATTAAGGTTTTATTGTTGCATGTAATAATATGGACCATAAAAACATAATGGAATTTTCAGTCACCAAAAATTTTAAAAGTATATATCAAATTATATAGATTATAGGAATAATCTCCTTAATAACTCCTAAATCTCTACATATTGCACATTTTAGGAGAACATAATGGATTAATTGAAATCAATAATAGAGAATTTTCGCTTGAATATTTAATAATACAGATTTATTTCTACAAATTTGATAGTTTAAGTTCCAGGTCATTATTAAAAAATGTATGCTCAATGCTTCTATATCAGTTTTGAAGGTCGGAGAGAACCCCAAATTTAACAATAGTTACGTGCAATTTTGTTAGTTAATAACTATATAAAACTATTAAATACTACCTTATATTTTTAATATAAAGGTTGATTGACTAATTTGAATAAATTAAAAAAATTAGTTTGGTTATTTATAATAAATAGATATTATTTTTTTAAAAAATACCTTTGCTAATCGTATGTGTTTTTGATAAAATATTTAACATGTGTAACTAATAAAAAGAATACCTTAAAAAATAAAAAAATAAATATGATAGAGGTCTTATATTTATGACCAAATTAAATATCAAAATAGTTCTTATATTAAAATTCGATGATAATATATTTCCTCTGGCTCTAAATATAGAAGTTAGACAATAAATTTGCTTTGCCTCAAAATTTCAATCCGTCTTTCACATCTCCAAACTCTTGTTTATTCAACTAATATGAAGGCAGGAGAAGAGCGTCTCCCCTGAATTGTATAGAGCCAATAATATGATGATTAAAAGGTGTTGTTTAGCTTTTGGTGTTGGACTTCAACGATAACTTGGGCCTGGCCCATCTGGATCCAAATTAATAATAGCAATGTTGCATCAAAAAAGATGAAAACAAATGTCACAAAAAAAAAGAAGATAAAAACAAATACTACCTTCCTTCAGTTCTTAATATATTAAAAAAATTAGTTAAATTAATTATTTATAACAAATGAGTATTATTTTTTAAAATATTTTTATTAATTAAGTGTATTGGCTAGAACTATCATTATTACAATGATTATTTTGGACAAAAAATATGTAACTAATAAAAGAGAAAATAAATTGAGGTTTATATTTAAGACAAAATAAAAATTAAATAACCTCTTATATTAAAAATCGAATGTAGTACATGTTCACACACGTATGCGCACTCCTGCGCATTCCTATTTGTGGACATGGGTAATGTGTTGGGCTTGGCCTATTTGTATTATCTTCTATAAAAGGTTACCCACAGATGCCAAGTAAAAGGAATTAAATATCGAGACTCTAAAGAATTCAATTTTTTTTTCACAAATTTGTAAATAATACACTAATATGAAAGTTTAACTTGTAAACATAAATTTTTAAATTGGACCTGCGAATATACAAGTTTGACTTATAAATATGAATCTTTTTTTTTTCTGACATCTATATATATATATATATACAATTTCCTTATCTAGAAATTATGTATACATATTCTTGTCTCATAATAGTTCTTCTGTAGCTTTTTTTTAATGAAAATTTTATATCTATCTTAAAATCAGAAGAAAATATCACCAAATTGTCTCCCAACAACAAAAATAATCTATAGATGACCACAAATATACCCATTTATTTCTTGGGAAATAAGTCATTGATTACCTATTGGTGGGCCTAGGTAGTGTATTGGGCCTAACTTATTTAGACCAGGCCTCATAATGCGATGAACATTCCTGCTAGACTTTGCAATTTTTGATAGTATCGTTTATAAGAAGTATTAACAAGGGCAATGACCACAGGGGTTGGTTTAGTGGAAGGAACCAGTCTTTTTGTTATGAAGAATCAAAATTTGAATCCTCATTGGAAGAGATGTCCACATTTAGCGTCCGACAGTACCTCGAATAGGATTGCCTCCAATAGGAAGATATCTATGCTTCAGCCAAAAAAAAAAAAAAACAAGGGCAATGCTAATGAAAATTAAGCACGAATGTAATCAAAAGTCCAATATCCACTATAGGCATATTTTGTTTTAAAATTTTTAGTCAGAAAAATGTACTATCTCGGGTCTTAAATATAAGAGCTAGTTGACTAATTTGAGTAAATTAAGAAAATAAGTTGAGTTAATTATTTGTAATAAATAGGTATTGTCTTTCCTAAAATATCCTTGTTAATCAAATTTGTTGGTTAGAACTATCATTATTAGAAGGACTATCTTGGAAAAAATGAATAAATATGAGAGACAAAATGAATTGGGGTCTTATATTTAAACCAAAATAAAAATCTAATGAGGTCTTATATTAAGGACCGGAGGAAGTATTTATTTCGATTTGGTATATGAAAAATTGAGAAAAAAATTATAAACTCATGTTCTTTTTAATTTTTATGAATTAAGGCGATACGTACTATTTATTCATGATGTTTTGGCATTTAAGCTTCCTTTATAATAATAAAATAAATAATTAATGAGATGAGAAAAGTAACAAATTAAAAGTATCATTATTATCATGCATGTATAATATACTGTAGTTTCAAATTCAGTGTGTAATTTCAAAAAAAGAACACATTTATTGCGTATCCGATTTTATACATATTAATAAAGAAATAAATTAAATGATTGAGCACGTACTATACTTTCAATGATCTCATGCAATGAATCCCACTTTTCTTCCCTTTTCATTTTCTTTCTTTCACTGGCATTCTCTTTAAAGTGAGAAATAATTTTAGAAAAAGGCTTTTTCTCCAAGTAAAAAATATTTTTTTAACATATTTGTGCTGCCAAAGCGTGGATGGGTAAGTAGATCCAGTTAGGGTGCTTATCTTTAGCTCATCTTAAACGTAAGCACCTAGTCTTCATCCCTGGACTATTTAAATCTAATCTGGACGGTTGATGTTTAATTTTTTAAATAATTATTTTAATAAATATAGAATCTAAACTAAAGATACTTTTTTTATTATTACTTTTCTAAA